CCCTTCAACCATCACACTGCCGTTCAAGCATTCAAGCCACTGAAGTTCAGGTTTTCTTTGTGAATGCAGACTTTAAACAAATTGATCCATTGCTGTTCAACTGACTGTAAAATTAGTAGATTTACTGTTGCAAAAAAAACGAAAGAAGAAAAACTGAGAGCTTTCACTTCCACTTTGGTAAGGTCACAGATGCATCCTAGGCTGCCAACAAAACAGCCTTTAAAATCTTTGCAGCGACTTTGGCGGTGGGGGTGGGGGAGAAGCAGTCAAACAATGACTGAAACGTACAGTGGAAAGTCTTCCCTATACAGTAAGCATGTAAAACTTCACATTTGATGAACTTTTCAAAATGGAATATTTTGCCTTTAATTTCATTTCCCTCAAAGATGAAAAACAGTGGAAGTACAAATTTGCTTTATCACTAACATTATATTTGCTGTCTGTCTGCTTTCCTTAAATATCCTTGTGTCTAAAATGTCTCAAATGGGTGTTTAAAACTTTCTCTAGTTGTATTTCTGTTTTGCTTTGATTTACACAGTAGTAAACCTTGTATGTTTTGTAAGGTTTTCTATAGTAGCTGTTTGTTTCTGCATGAGATCCTATGATGGTAAAGGGAATTATTTGCATTAAGAGTTTAAAAATGACCAAAGTTACCTGAATCCCCCCAAAACTCAATACTTTTTAAATGGAAACACATGACTCTATTATTTTTCCAAAAGAGACTTTTGAACCTATTTTCTGCTTCATTCAGTTGCACAGGAGACTCTTCACATAAGATAAATGGGTCTTCCATATATAAATATTCTTTTATTCAGCAGACATGAAAGCTTTATAAAAAATTAAAATAAAAAAAAGCCGTGGCTGGTGAAGCTCAGTTGGTTGGGTGTTGTCCCGTGTGTGTACCAGAGGGTCACTGGTTCAATCCCGGCCAGGGCACATGCTCGAGGTTCAGGCTCTATCCCGACTAAAGGGCACGTAGGAAGTAGCAGATCAACCACCCTCCCTTCCTCTCCCTCTCTCTCTCTCTCTCTCTCTTTCTCTCTCTCTCTCTCTCTCTCTCTCTCTCTCTCTCTCTCTCTCACCCCTTTCTCCCCCGCTCTAGTCCCCTCCTTCCTACCTCTCTAAAAAAAAAAATAAAGAAAATAAATAAAATAAAATAAAATAAAAAGTCAATTAAAAAAAAGATATGTCATTCCTTTTGGACAAATTTACTTTGCTCATTCACAGCCAGCATTATGCTTTATTTATCTATTTATTTTTTTATTAATCCTCACCCAAGGATGTTTTTTTTCTATTGAATTTCAGAGAGAGTGGAAGGTGGGGGTGGGAGGGACACACCAAGAGAAACATTGACAGGAGAGAGGCTCATTGATTGGTTTCCTCGAGCATGTGTCCTGACTGGGGCCGGGGATGAAGCCTGAAACCAAGGTATGTGCTCTTGATTGGAATCGAACCTGAGACCTTCCCATCCAAGAGCCAATGCTCTAACTACTAAGCCAAAACAGCCAGGGCCACTATCATACTTCAATGATTGGTGCCATCACTCTGTGTCTAGAGCCTAATTAGGAATCTAATGTTATGGGAAATCTTACACATGATAAAGAAATTTATTCTGAATCTAAGGATAGTTTAAGAGTGCATGAGGGTTTTTAACACAGATGTAGTCACCACATGTTCTCCAGCTCTTCTGGGGAAGCAGCATAAATAGCTGAAGGATGAATCTAGGCTACGTAAAGGAAAAGATCCCCTAAGTCCTTACAAATAGTGAATGAGTTACTGATGGAAGGCAAATCACCTTGATGGCATTTTTTTCTGTTTTTCTTTTTAAGTGTAGGGATGTTTATATGTTTTGAAAGGATTGATCACAGTTCTGCCCGAGGATAAATAGCAGAGATTCAGTAAGAAGGCTTCCAGCTTTCAGATATTATGAGAACAGACAGTCTCTTCAGGATGTTTTGATGAGTTATCCCACACCTTGCTTTCTATGTCCCTTTTGACACATTTGCAAACATATGCACAGGAGGGCATGGGTCCTCTCAGTTATTAAATTTATAAAATGAGAAAATTGCCCTAGCTGGTTTTGCTCAGTGGATAGAGCCTTGGCCTGCAGACGGAAGGGTCCCAGGTTCTGTTCCAGTCAGGGCACATGCCCGGGTTGTGAACTCGATCCCAGTGTGGTGCGTGCAGGAGGCAGTGATCAATGATTCTCTCTCATCGTTGATATTTCTATCTCTCTCTCCCTCTCCCTTTCTCCCTGAAATTAATAAAATATATTTTAAAAATAAAATAAAATGAGAACGTTGCTGCCATTTAAGACAAATGCCCTCAGCTAGATCTGGTTGACACTACAGATAAGGAAACTAGTTCAGCCTTAAATAGCTCCGTGAGAGCAAGGACCAAGTGTAAGTGTCCTCCTCAAGTCCACTCTGTCTCCTCTCCTCAGCAAGCCCCAAGGCTGGCCCGTTAGGCATGAGTGTCTGTTGAAATAGTGAAGTGGTAAGCCCAGAAACTCACATGTCTATGACCCAGAGTCCAAGGTTAATATTTGCATGTTGGCCATTTCCAAGTTAAATAAGAAGAGTTAGACATTCATTTTATTCTACGAAAATTATTCCCTAGAACCAAAATAGAAGTTTAGTGGTGATTAGATTTCACACAATAAACTTCAATTCCCCTGTTTTAGCAAAACTGCCCTTATAAGAGCTTACAATCTAATGGAGGAGGGGGCATACAAACTCACTATACTTCATTAATAACTGTTTAGAAATATACTGAATATCTGAACCTACACACACTGTATCACATCTATTTAACTTACAAATAAACACAGGATTTACTCGTGTAAGCTTAGCTCCTTCAAGTAATTGTTGCAGTTATTGTGGCATCAGGATAACAGCCTGGTGTTTCAACAACTTTTATGGGTAGAAACAGTAACAACTGGGAAAGCTCTATACACTTCTGAGAATCCCCTTCTATGCACATAAGGAATCAGAGAGCTTGCAGATTTGTGACATAGTAATGTTACTTCCCCAAACCCAGAAATGGGCCTTAGCAAGTCCTGGAATAGCCAGTTGTCTGCTTTACTATCTTTATTCAAGGGACTTCAAAGTGAGACTCTCAGTGACTCTATAAAAGCTGTCAGGTCTTATTTCAGTTGGAAGTCAAAGCAGAGTTCAAGAGATTAAAAAAAGAAAAACAGGTCTGAGGACACGTCTGCTACCCCCCCCCCCCTTTATGCTCATCTCCTTGTGACATATGACAATGGCAGTCTACAAAACCTCCCATGTGATCTACTCTAGACACGTATCCCTTCAGAGGGGCCACAGAAGGGCTGCTGGCAGGTAGCTCGGGTAACAAGGATTACTTGGTGTGGACTTAATCAAATGGTAATCCTATCAAATGCCAAATCCTTAGTTTGAGTACTAAACTCTTCTATCAATGTTATACTTCCCACTGACTATCTTCACAGATTTGTGAGCCCATGGCTTCACTCATCAGCCTAAGAGACAGTCAGCATTAGGAGCACCAACTCTAGCATGAGGCTCCTGGGGTTTTTATTCTTGGTTCTATTCGCTGGGTGACCTTGGGCAAATTGATTCTTGGATGGTATTCCCTCATTTGTGAAAGGGGTAATAAGGTTGTCCCAAGGATGAAATTACTTGATAGAAATAAAGCACTCAGAACAGTGGCTGGCATACACACGGGTAAATGCTAAAAGTGTGGGCACATATTGTTGAGCACCTACCATTTCTCAAGGTATGTGCTAGTCAACCAAACTTCTATCTTGGTATTAAATAACAATCTTGGTAGAATAAAATGAATCTCTAATTCTCTTGTTTAACTTGGAAATGGCCATGAAAATATTAACCTTGAACTTTGTGTCACAAACATGAGTTTCTGGGTTTACAAATATCAGTGCCTACAGTGTCAGACTTGGGACTTGATGAGTACCCTCAAAGTTGGTCTTTGTGCTCACAGTTATTGAAAGTTGAACTGGTTTCTTCATCTGTAATAAAAGGTAATACCCAACTCAAGAAATTATTTAATGAGAATACAGCAATGTGTTCAGCTGGACTACAAATATTCAATAAATGTAACTTCCTCTCATATGATAAATGAAAGTATTCTCTACTTCTGTGGCTTCACTAAATCACAACTGTATTCTCATTCTGCCATCAGGAATTTCCTACTGAAGAGGTGGGAGGGGCCGGGGGTAGACAGGTGAGGCCTCAAGGTCAGGCAGGTGAGACACCAGAAGTGGAGAACCGCTCTACCGAGCTCTCCCCTTTGTAAACTTGTTGGAAGCTCTCCCAACTACATTCCCTGAAGCCATACACATCCCAGCCAGGGCTCCAGCGACCACAGGCTCAGATCCGGCTGGCCCACTGTGTTACCTGCGAACCCAGGGAAGCCTTTTACTTCCGAGCCTGTTTGCTCGCCTGCCAAAATGGCAGCAGTGCTCCCTGGCTCAAAATAATTAGAAAGAGGTTTATGAAATACTTTATTAAATACAAAATGTTAGGGTTGCTGAAGGAGGAACGCACAAGGCCAAAAGGGGTAAAGAATTATGAATTTATTAGGTCACCTGGAAACCCAAATGAGCTGAGCCCCCAAATGGTGCCAGCACCCAAGGGCAGAGTCAGAGACTTTAAAGGACTCTGGGTGAGCTTTTTCTAGATGGAGAATTCTCTGGGCGGGTTCTGAGGGGGAAGATGGGCTGAGCCCCAGAATGGCGCCAGCACCCAAAGATGGGGAGTCAGTGGTTTTTAAAGGGCTTTTTCTGGGCGGAAAATTCTCTGTGCAGATCTGGATTCCAGGAAGCTCCGGTGAGGAAGGGAGAGATAATGGTCTAAGCAAGTGATGTCCACAGAGAAGTGGCCTAAAGGCAGGTCCCAGCGGAGGGGCTATTGGGTTTTTTTATCTGGCCGAACACAAAAGACGTTTAAGGCTGAGGCTGGCGCAACATAATGCAACTAGAGAAGGAAGGCTCTGATCGCCACACAAACTCAGCACACTAGTTTCCTCCTAACCTCTGGACACACCGGAGACAGGTGGGTAGCAATTATCCCTCAAACCTCGCGCTCGGCATTATTTTTGTCGGAGGAATTCATCAGGGGAGCCAGAAAAGCGCTCCTCCCCAGGTCACCTTTCCTTTAAAAGCCCCGCCCCGAAGCCCCGCCCACTACGGAAAGCGAAGGTGCCTCTCCGCGGAGCGCGCATCCTTTTTCCGGACCTTCGCCGCCGGCCGGGAAAGCCTGGGGCCAGGCGCTGAGCGGCCTAGACAACCTGAGGCGGAAGGACGTGGTCTTGGGGCGACCCTGCGGCGGCGGCGCTGTCCCCAGGTCAGTGTACCCCGGCTGCCGGCGGGCGCGGAGAGGCCTTGCCAGCTCCGCCCCGAGGTCGGGGTTGGGTCAAATTGCGTCCACAGTACATTTGGGCCCCGGCTGCTGCCCGTGCATCCCTCAGTCAGCCCGGCCTTACCGACGCTTGTACGTGCAACGTCTGCGCGCGCGCCGTGCGTCCGTACGCCTCTGGGGTGGGCGTGGTCGCCTCTGACCCAGTCCGCGCCTCTGGGAAGCGCCTCCCGCCGGTGTCACCGCGCTCTGCGCCTGGGCGGGAACACAAGCTGCTGCCGTGGGTCGAAGTGATTGTGGCATTTTTTTTTAACTCCCAGCCTCCAGGGCATAAGGCTTGTGAAAGAAGTAAATAAGTTTTCTTACTGAAAAGTCGCGATTGCAAGTGCATGTTAGGAAAGGCCTCAAAAGTGATGGAAAATCAACTACTGTTTTTTGTGCCAGCACAATACAGCGGAGGGTGAATCGTAGAACTTACCTTCTAGTGAAGAAAACAGTCATGCGATAATAAAAAATTATAATTGTGATAGATGCTTTATGGGGAAGAATCTATACTGGAAGCGTTTCATGTTGGGCGTGAATGTTGAGCTCAACAAACAGATGGGGGAGGCTGAGCAGGGAGGTTTGGGGAGGGCTGGGACGCAATGAGAAGAAGGCTGAGAAAGGTGGCATTAAGCAGTGATCTGGTGCTTCCTAACACAAGGGATGGGAAGGACATTTAAAGCAATCATGTCAAACTCGCAGCCCACGGGGCGCATGAGGCTCACAATGAATATTTTTGCGACCCAGCCAATATAAGGGTATGTAAGAAATGTTTTAATAAAAATTTAGTAACAATTTTCACAATATCATGTTACACATTATTATTAATAATGAACTACAATGTTTGCTAATGACTGATTTCTATAATCGTGTTCCTTTCATTGCCTTACGTGCCTGCGCACCATTTCTCTCCACTAATACTAACAGCGAATATTTTAGCAGTCAATTGACACGTCATTAGTCTTGGACTGACTTGTTTGGTGTGCGCAACAGGAAATATTTCGCTTTCAGAGAACAAGAAAAATAGGTTCACTTGCGTTACGCTTATTAATTTATACAGTTATTCAGTGTCTGGTAAGTTATTGTTCAAGAAAAAATCTTAGAAGAAACTATGATGGGGAAAGAAATCAGAATAATTGTAGCATCTGGATGGGGATGGAGATTGACTTGGAAGAAGCATAAAGGAAGTTACTGGGGTCATGGTAATAGTCTACATGTTGATAAAACTTTTGGTTCCAAAGTGTTTTTACTTGTCGAAAACTATTCAATCAAATGACATGCTTAAGATTTGTACATTTCATTTTATGTAACTTTTGCCTCTGGAGAAAACAAAAAGAATCATAAATACTGAACTCTAGTTAATGATATGCATGCTGAAGTATTTGAGGGTAGGTGTACCAATGTCTGCAGCTTACTTTTGAAATGTATCAAAACAAATAAAATGGAGCTGGTCTGGTTCAGTGGATAAAGCGTCATCTGTGGACTGAAGGATCCCAGATTCGATCCAGTCAAGGGCACATACCCGGGTTATGGGCTCGATCCCCAGTAGGGGTCATGCAAGAGGCAGCTGATCAATGATTCTCTGTCATCATGGATGTTTCTATCTCTTTCCCTCTCCTTTTCTCTCTGAAATCAATAAAACAATATTTTTAAAAATAAAATGGAAAAAGGAACAAATAGGTAGATTGATCAAGGAAAGCAACATGTAGAATCTAGATGAATGGGTATTGGCATGCTCACTGTACAGTCTTTCACCTTTTCTGTATGTTTAAATATTTTTACAATAGAAGTTAGGGAAAGTAGGCCTCCAAAGAATATTGTTCATTTTAAACAACTGAAAACAAATGTGAAAATATAAAGAACACAGCTTTAAACTCACTTAAAATACATAGTGTTGGAAATAGCCACACATTTACTTTAAAAAACAAAAATTCCACTTTTTGCCTTAATATTGAAATCATCTCAATTCTTACAGAGTATGTGGATCACACATTAAAATTACTCTGTGTACTGTGCATTTTGAATAATGCAATTGACCTTTTTTTTTTTTTTTTTTAACCTTGTCCTAGGAAAGTTAGTGATGATGCCAGAGACTAATAAGAGATATGAAGTCTGAAAGGAGCAGGAATTACTGAGAGGGAGTACAGCACAGAGGGTTTAGGGGCCATTTGTCATCTTGTCCTCCAATGGTTGGAAGATGTGGAATTTTCCAGTGATCTGATGTCAAGTAAAAAGTCAGTAGAAGGAAATTATATATGTCTTTTAGAATGTGGAGTCAGCTACTGAATTTAAAACTACCAGTAGATGCAGAGTGATGTAGCACAGTATGATTTCAGTAAGGTCTGAATAATCATAAAATCATAGATATCTCATACAATAAAATGTATACACTTTACGTAACTGATTTTAAGATAATTAGTGTTTGGGTGAACAAAGATGGTAGAATAGATAAATGCCGGTACTTGCCACCTTCCACAACCACATCAAAATTACAACCAAAATACAGAACAACCATAATTCAGAACTGGCTGAATGGAAGTCCTACAACTAGAGAAGTAAAGAAGAAAGTACACTGAGACTCATAGGAAGGGTGGAGGCATGGAACGGGTTGGTCCAACGCCAATGCATGGCGTTTTGTTTTGTTTTGTTTTGTTTTGTTTTGTTTTTAATCGAGAGGGATATCTCTGATTCAGAGACCTTCCATGAGAAGCCAGGGGTCCCATTCCAGGATTCCAGAGTTGGGAAAAGAAGTTCCCATAACTTTAGGCTGTAAAGATCAGTGGGGATTGTGATTGAGTGACATGGAGATTATTGGAGTCCCATGCAGTTCCTCTTAAAGGGCCAGCACATGAACTTACACAGTTCTGCTTCCTCTGAGCTCCAGCACCAGGCGTTGGATTTGGAGGACCCAGGTACGTAAAAGAGGAGGAGCTGGATTGTCTGGCATCAGGGCAGTAATTAGGGAGGCTTTCTCCAGGACAGAGGTGCTGCAGGAGTCATTGTTCTTGTCTGGGACCTCCCCCAGTACATAGCAAACTGGCAGCCATATCTGTGTTTCCATCATTGTGGACCACACTGTTTGGTCTATCCTGATGATTCCCTGAGATCCCATGCCATCCAATTTGCAGCCCCAAGCAAGTTGTTTGTGGCAGCTTTTTCATATGAATGGCCTGTCCTATCACAGGCTTCAGACTTTGCTAAAATGACTCAAACAGGTAGCAGGTGTGTTTGCCCCAACCCTATCAATAAAAGGTCCAAGACCCAGCACTAGCACCAGCCTACTTTGCTTAACAGTTGGGCCTTGCCAGGGCACTTCCAAGCCCAATACAAGTAGCAGCCATCTGCAGATATCTCTCTGTAGCTCCTACTGGGTAGCCCCAGGAAGTGGCTGACTTTGGTTCTCTCAGGAGGCCCTAGAGCCAGTACACCCAGTGGACAGCTTCAGACCATATCAGATTACAACTCCACACACACACAAGTGATACACTCAAGGACAGACTCAGCACCAAAGCCGCACTGAAGCAAGTCCTGCACAGCAGCTCTTCTACTTAAGTTGCAGTAGGTCCTCACAACCAGTTGGCCTAGAGGTCAATTCCTCCCAGTGATGCTGGATACAGAATTCAAAACAATGGTTATAAGGTTGCTCAAGATCTTAATGGGAGCTTCCGGGGAGTTAGTGAGACTTTCAAGGATCTTAGTGAAAATCTCAAGGACATAAAAAAGGACCAGTCAGAAATTAATCTTACACTAACTGAAATAAAGAATAATTTACAGGGATTCAACAATAAAGTAGAGGATTCCAAGAATCAAATCAATGATTTGGAATGTGTGGATGCAAAAAACATCAAGCAGAAGAGTTAAAAAAAAAAAAAAAAGGATCTAAAAATATGAAGATAATGTAAGGAGCATATGGGACAAATTCAAGTTGTAGGGGTGACTGAATGTTCCCATTATGTGGGTGCCTGAAGGAGAGGAGAGAGAGCAAGATATTGAAAACTTATTTGAGGAAATAATGACAGAAAACTTCCCCTATCTGGTTAAAGAAATAGATTTACAAGTCCAGAAAGCACAAAGATTCCGAAGCAGGAAGAACCCAAAGATGTCCACACCAAAACACATTAAAATGCCATGGGTGAAAGATAAAGAGAATCTTAAAAGCAGCAAGAGAGCACCTACAAGAGAGTATCTATACAACTGTCAGCTGATTTCACAACAGAAATTTTGCAGGGCAGAAGGAGGTGGCAAGAAATATTCAAAGAGATGAATAGAAAGGACCTACAACTAAGATTATTCATCCCAGCAAAGCTATCATTTAGAATTGAAGGTCAGATAAAGAACTTCACCAACAAAAAAGCTAAAGGAGTTCCTCGCCACCAAACTGGAATTACATGAAATGTTGAAAGGTATTCTTTAAGAAGAGAAAGAAGAAGGAAAAAAAAAAAAAGATTAGAAAAATATGAACAATAAAATGGCAATAAAAACATATCAATAATTGAATCTAAAAATCAAAATAAATGAACAAGAAATCTAATGAACAAGATAAACTGATGAATGAAATAGAATAGATAAGGAAGCATGGAACAGAGATGAATCTCAGAGGGGAGGGGAGAGGAAAGTATGAGAAGAGATTAACCAGAGATCTTTTATGCATACTAGAGTCCCAGTGCACAGATTTGTGCACAGGGCCGGGGTGGAGTGTTCCTCAGCCTGGCCTGTGCACTCTCGTAATCTGGGACTCCTTGGGGGATGTCTGACTGGTAGTCTAGGCCCGATCCCCTAGCCTGGCCTACGGGGATCAGGCCTAAACCGGCAGTCAGACATCCCTCAGGGGATGTAACAGTGCACCAAGCAGCAGACAGCCAGGGAGGAGCCCCAGCTGGGCTGGGCACCGCACCTTACACTCATCCTGGCTACTGCACCTGGGCTGCTGTTTGGTAGCGCTGCCA